GAAGGCTGTGGATGGATTACCCTTGATGTCCAAGAGCAAGAGAGCCGGTATGATCGCCTAATTGGGAGAGACCTTGTCGGATCAGGCGTTGTGCACCTGGTAATACTTACATTTCGGAGACGCTGATAGGAGAAGAAGAATTCGGCAGCACAATCAAATGGGGAATATTTGAAGGAATAACACCCTAGCATTTGGATTAATGCGTGACAACCAATTTGCTCGGTTGTTGACTCTAATGGCCGATACCAGAAGGATGTCGCTTCTAGTGCGAAAATAAACCCGAAGGGGTAAAAGCCAGTACAATATGTATCGCCCGCAAGAGCAAAGCAAACACGGAAAAAGTGATACATATAGTATGAAGTACGAAACAAGAGAAAGATCACTCAAGACGGAGAAATTGTTTGCTAATATCACCTATTACAAACTACGGGCTGGAAAACACTTTGGCTACTATTTCATCGGCCTGAGAGATAAAGGCTATGGAGTTAGCAGCACTAAAGAAATCCTCAATCAGGCATTCATAATCCCAGGGTGCGCCGCGGTTGGAAAACCATGGGGAAGGAACCGAAGTTCGTGGCCAGAATGGGCTTGCGCAGAAGCCAACGCCATGGTGGCACCATGGCGAACGCCATGCAAAGCGACCTCCCTGATGCGGTTCAGGATGTCATACAGGTGAACCACCGGGATAGCGCCTCTGGCATTGACGAATCCCGCCGCGTGCTCCACAGCCAATTGGAGGCTCTCCAATTGGGCAGACAAATCAAAAGGATTCAAAGGGGAGGTAATCAGAGTCTTGAGGATGAAATTAAAAGAAAGCAAAGGTTATGACAAATGTCTCACCCGAGATTCTAGCCTCGGCCTTGGCCAACCTATCCTCCACCAAATCAGCCTCGGGAGGTGATCGACATTGAACCATGGCCAGAGTCGATTCTACAAGGGAGAGACACTCAGCGAGACCCTAGCCATGCCGATCAGTGAAGGCAAGCAGATTGTCATTGTCAATCTGCCTCCTTTAATAACAAGGGAGCTGGCGATGAGCTATTGACGAAGAGGACCCTAAAGGCCGAACAGAGTCGGCCCTATCCCCCAAAGCAGTGGAGGCATCATGAGTTGTACCCTCCTGACGGTGAAGGCACTAACGCGATGATGCAGGTCCATTGAAGGCCCCCTCAGCAAACCTCTTGCTGTTCTCCATAATCTCAAACCTACAGAGAAGCAGGAACTAATACTAAGGATGTGGAAGGTTTGAGATGAAGTGAGTTGTTCTTCGATCCCCAGTCGTGGCCCGTATATATAGCCTGGGAAGGCGAGGAGATAAATATCGCCGGGGATGTGAAATTGAAATCAGATACGGAAGCAGATCGATGCTCCAGAAATTCAGGGGACAGATAACAAGGAGATAACAGATTCGGACTTATTGCTTCCTCAAGTTACAGAATATCGTGGGGTGGATACAAAAGATTTACATTGACCAGCAATTAACCCACCAAGGTTTTTTTGGATTGAAGATAGTCCGAATCTCCACAGGGCCGAAAGTTATCATAAGACGAGTCACATAAGCCCGTTAATAAAATTATAACAGAGAATGGGAAAAGCCGCCTGCCCAACAGATACCCAGCTGATTTCTCGATGACTGGGAAACCGCTGGAAAGAAGCTTGTGGCTTTCCCAATGGGCATTTGATTAAGCAAACAAGGGGAAGGTGTCCACATATTTTAGCCCTTGCAAACACTAGAACAGCTTTGCGAGCATGGAGAGAAGACCCAGGCGATATCACAAGGATTCTTCTAACCGCAGTGGCTGATTCTCTTGCTCGACAAGGTGCTAAGATGAGCAACACAATCACCCTATGTACAAGAATTCTTCTAACCGCTCAAGATCTTCATAGCAAAAAGATAGACCACGAAGGGTCCGGCGGAGTCAGGGGCACTCGAAGAGGCAGATAGAAGAAAAGCATGGCTAAATTATGGAGTTGCTCTCACCACGGTCAGATAGACATTATATAGCCGGCCCGAAAAGATGAATCCAAGTGCCCGTGAAGCAATGACACTCTCGTGAAAGTTTTGAGGCATGGGCTCATGAGCTGACGCAGGCGGTGACAAACAGTAGACCCCAGATCAAGATTCTCTACCCGTGACTGCGGACCAATCAGGGATACAGACATGATAATTTTAGAATAAAATTACTTTTATCCCAAAATTGGGGGGCATGTGTTTACACCAAAATTTGGAAGGAGAGTCACATAGACTTAAAAGCTCCTAAGATCATGTCATCAAGGAAGCAATTGCGTCCAGACCAGAATTAGCTAATTCGAATGCAGCACCGGAATAGGCTTTCTTTAGGTAGCGCCAGCAGATGACGACAAAGGCTACGATCGGCGTCAGGACAAAGCATGTTGGACTCTACAAAAAGGGAAAGATTAGAGTCCAAGTTATCTTAAATTAGGAATGTTTTCTCATAGGGCCAAAGATTGTGATGAGTCGTGCTTAGATAGGAGTCATGCGTAGGTCCCGAGTATAAATATCAAACCCCGACTATTGTAAATGACACACAATCAATCAAATATCAGTTATATACTTTTTTCGGCTCCAGCCACACCTTAGGAGTAGAAATAGAGTAGATCTCGGCGAGTTCTTCAGCAAGTATGGCTGCATCGATCCGGTTGACCTCCACTGCTTGTCTGTAAGTACCGTCATGGCTTATACCTCTGTTCGTACGGCTGCATTGATCTGGTCGACCTCCACTACGATTCTGGTATGAGTTAGTTATCGACTCTTGTCTAGTTCAAGTAAGGCCGCATCGATCCGGTCAACCTCCACTGCTCGAACTAGATTAAGGTTTAGTTATCGGCTCAATCTAAGGGTGGCGTTCCTTCGGATAGATTCATTAAGTTATCGATATTGCTTATTGCTTTCATTATTTATTTAATTACAGCAATATCACTTCGCCCGATTAGGATTGATCTAGATCTGTCTTATATCTTGTTTAACCCATCGTTTTTTAATCTAAATATGATCTGATCTACACTTTAAACGATGAGTTATGTTTTATCGGCTGTTTTATATCAATCTTGATCGTGCATAGCGTGCAGTTAAGGCGTGTTCGATCTTGAGTAGACCTATTGGCTAGCGAAAACCGTTCCATGGCCCGTTATCACGGCCTGTGTGATTCTGCCTCACACCCCACTGTTAACACTGTGGAGTGGGGATCGTTATTTGGTAGATCTATTTTTGAGAGGGCATGATCTTAACTGTGTGCTATGCCTGAATCGGTTATTTTAGTCAATATCGAGCACTTTCACGAACAGTTCACGTTACGAGACCGTTGAAGTAGCGATAGGTTGAAAAATATGTTAACCCATGATCTTATTATTGTATTACGGCTTATATGATTCTGCCTCATGCCCCACTGATATTAGTAATAAGTTAGGGTCGTCGAGTCTATTGTTGTTTCTACAGCCTGCATGATTCTGCCTCATACTCCACTGGTCATAGCGATAGATGAGATCTAATGTGTTCATTAGATTTATCTCTATTAAATGGTTAAATGATGGTGAGCTGTTTCTTTTACATGAAAAGGGGTTCGTTACTTGCAGTTATTGGCTTAGTATAAATTAATTATTATTGATATCTTACTACCATTGACCAATATTTGTTTTAATAATGATATTCATCCTGAACGATAATCGATTCTTCTTATACAACCTCATGAGCTTTAACCGATCTATTCTTATGAATATGCTGGAATCGACTATTTAGTCGATCTCCTTTCATATTGGCTCTCAGAGCCGCACATTCGGGACTGTCTGGCAACACCGGCATGTTCTGCCCTTAATTACTGATAAACTTTCTCTCCTTGTCAATTGTAGGGTCAAATTGACTGGCACGTCTTGGGAGGATTGCGCAGGATCGACTATCCCTGCGCTGAAGCTAGGCGGATCTACAGCTCCATCAAGCAGACCCTTCCGGCTTGCTCGTGTGTCCTTGGCACGGGACGAAAATTCTGTGTCGACAACAGCTTTCCTGCATATATAATTAAGCATCAAAAACACCTCAATAAAAACTGTACTGGCAGGAACATTAATCTAAATTGTGTATTACTGCATACAACTTATTTTTTGTTGATTAATAAGTTGCGCAACTGAAAAGATAAATTGTACATTTGCAATAAAAATTCTAAATCAAACTGGATATTCAGTTATAGCCAAGTTAGTCTGCGAACTTATCTATTTGAACATGTGTTCCTGGAATAAGAACAACACTGCATGATAGATTTTGAGTTTGAAAGCATTTAAAATGATTGTCTGGATATATGCACCTATCGAGGTGGTGTGCTCATCTTAAATGTTCACTGTGCCAAGGTCTCTTAATACATAACTTTGGCCATATGCCTATCATTGGTACCATGTGGTTCATATGTGTCTATTTCTTTACAAGCTATGGGATCCTAGTATTCAGAAGTTCATATATGCATCTACAACAATTGCTACCCGAATCTGAAGCTTAATAGTACTCCGCTATGCCAAAGAAATACATAAATTCAGTGTTGCCGTTGCAGGAACCCAGTCGAGTAAAGTTCACTAGAACTAACAAAAAGCAAAAACAGAGCAAGGAAGTGGACACAGATAATAAGCCTGTAACAAATCATAATCAATAACTCTGTACTGACCAACATACTTTGCCTACTTCCATGCAGAAAATTTAATAAAGTAAAGCCTATGCTTCCATACACAGATTTTGAGTTTAAAAGCATTTACAATGATTGTATATATGCTCATCATAGACTATAGCTGCTCAACCAATCGTTCGCTGTGCCAAGATCTATGTTATTCTTCCAAGGGGAGGTTGGGCTCAACAGTATTGTTCTACAGATTCTAAAAAATCATTCAGTTGGTGACACATACTCTATCTAATAATATGGTTGAGCAGCTAATGGATTTTTTAACATAGATCGTTCTACAGATTCCAAAAATAAAAAAAAAATCATTCAGTTCCGTGCAGGATGGGATCTGATAATACGGCAACAAGCTGCTCCTCCCCAGTGACAAAGCCACCAAGACTCACCGAGTCCTCAGTTGGTGACGGGGAGCACCCTGAAGGCGCCGGGAGGAGCTGCACGGAGGTGGCAGCGGCTTTGGAGCCTCGCCGGCTGCAACGGGGCTCTCGGCCTCGAGCTCGGGATGGAGCCGTAGCGCTTGGAGACGGCGGACTGCAGGAAGCCGCGCACCACGGCGTCACGTGTGCGCTGCGACGGAGCCGTGAGAGACGGAAGCAGCACCTCTGCGGAGGCCGTTCCTCGCCGGAGATATACAAGAGCGAAGAGGGGGCCGCGGCTCCTCTTACCGGCCGGCCGGCGGGAGCTATGCCAGGTTTATCCAGCCGGTGGGACGGAGCCGGGGCTGATTCGGCGGCAGCGAGGGCCCGAGGAGGCGAGGGCGGGTTGGAGCGGCGGCAGCGTCGGGGGCGAGGCCGAGACGAGATGAGGACTGGCGGGGCGGCTGTGGGAGTCGGGTGGGTGCATGGCGTAGGGAAGTCAGGGGAGTCGGAGGCAGAACAATTTGGGATGTGGACGATCTTTCTTAATAGGAGCAGAGATATGCTCGAATATGAACATATAGTAGTCCATCACGCGCTGCATGGTAGGAAAGGACATAAAGAAGATTTTTTTTCACCCGATTCACTGTATAGATTGAATGGGGAGCGGAGAAATCCAACTATGCAGCCGACGGATCCGGCCAAGGATCAATCACAGGCAGCGAAAAAAAAATGTAAACGACATATCATAATAAAATGTGGAGCCAAGAAAAAAATTAACATCTTCAAACAGAAAATAGTTTGGCACTAGCTATATATTTCTAATAGTAACAGTTGGTTTAGTTAACTGGGAAGTGTGTAGCATGCAGTATGTGCATAATAAGAGGCATGCCATGACAGTAGACAATATTATTTAAATAGTATTGAAATAATCTTAAAACTTTTGACATCATTAGCCATCATCCTATATGAAATTTACAAAGTTGTGAGCCATATATAGGCGTGTGGTGAAAACAAAATTCAACTGAAGATCTTATATGATACCTGTCATTGAGAGTTGACTATGGGTATTTATTTCGTGCAATCAATCAAATATTTTAACGAAATGAGAGAACCTTAGAAAAATGAGAGAAATCATATAGATAATATTCTGTTTATTGAAAGAGATGATAACTCCTACTGCATGTTACTGTAATAAATTCACCATTCATGAACTGGCACAGTTGCATCGTCTTCAGTACCCTCTGTTTAATATTTAATAATTAGTTTAAAACTTGCCAAAATTATCAACAGAAGTGAGTTTCAGATGGTCAACAGTATCAGCATATGCGATCAGGCAGATATCATCCAAAGAAAAAGAACTGCCCTTGTTAAGTTAGACACTGACAAATTTTTTGTTTTGAGATATATAGTCTTGCAGGGTTCAAAGCAGGGAAAAAAGGCAACATGAACTTCCAAAGACTACATCCATAAATAGGCAGGTATGGACTGAATGCGCAAATAGAGAGCAGAGACATGATTCTACGGTAAATAGCAACTGCAAGGCAACTTGAAAATTGACTCATATGAAAGAAATGTCAAAATATCTGAATAGAAGCACCAACGCGATGGAGCATCGAACTGTCAATTAGAAGGTGAAAAATGGAAGGCAAGAACTGTCAGCTAGATTTTCCATTGCCCTCAGTTCACTAAGAACACCAAAAAAGACCATATATATGTAAGGGTACATTTCACTCAGCACGCCAAATAGTTCAATAAAAGCATAATCGAAGTATCATAAAAGACTGAGCAGTCATCATAATATATGCACATGGCTCATCCCAAATGCGAATAAAAAGATCACGAAAGAGTGATAATCATGACCGCGCACTGTCAGTGACCTAAATAAGCCTTTAACAAAAGCATATAAGCTCACTGTACAGCCATTATATATCCAGAATCTGGACATTGCCATGTTTCATGTAGGTAACATGATGCCGAAATCCTGAAACAAGCAGGAACTGTACAGTGACCTCGACAGACAATTTTTGAATCAATCACATAAAGGCATACTATAGAGACATAATGCCCTTGACAGACACCTGCACCTTGTTAGAAAGGAGTACAGAATCTGACAAATGGGCCTTGCATAGAGAACTCAATTGTTGAGAGCGAAATAATCAAATAATTCAGCGGTAAAGCATAACAGCTGCCTAACAGTGGTATCTATGTTAGGAAATGCTAAATGATTGGCACATGAGCTGTGCTAGTAGGTACACTGCAACAGGAAAATGTATTACTCAATCTGTTAGCATCTAATGTTGGTAAAAGAACCAAGTATTGTTAAGAAGAAGCCATGCATCTTTTTGTTGTCTAGAGAGCCTTGGGAATAAGATAGGGAAAACTGGTATATGGTTTCAGTGGTTGAATAAATAAAGAAAGGTGCGGTGGACTCCCAAAAATAATTGGTTGGCGTCTGAAGAGGAAAATATAACTGAAGGAGCAGGGTGGACAGAAGGTTTGAACACAACACCTCTAAAAGAAAAGGAGAAATACATAGATGGTATGCTGCAATTTCATTCCATAAAAGGAAGGGTTAATATATGGTGCATCCATGTGTAGAATTTTAAAAATATCCCTAACTATAATCATCAGTACTAACAATACGTCAAGCGCATTTATATTATGTAAATATGGCATGTCAATAGGCAACAACAAATCAACAAATACTTCATCAACTGAACATGTGGAGGTGGGAAGGTAGTCACTCACATAGCTTGGAAGGCTGCAGGTTCGTTTCCTGGTAACACATAGCAACCCAATAATTCACATGATTTGGCTGCAGTAATATAAAAAGTCAAATGTCCCTGCGAAATATTATGAACGAATCTAAGGCTGCATAGGCTAGCAATACATGGTCACATGTTTGGGCAGACAAAGAAGCACAAAAAAAGGAAACTGGGTAGGCAGGAGAATAATCGATACCGAGTAAAACCTGTAAAGGGATGACATTGAAAACTAAGAAGGTTGAGAGGGCACACGCTACGAAAAGCAATGGTAAGAAATGAAATCATCACAATCCAGCTGAATAAGAGCGCAAACCCAATAGGATACGAAATGAATGAATACACAAGATGCTTCGTTAATGCCACAAGAGATTAACACTTAAATTGAATATGTGGCTTCAAAAGCACATGGACTCAATATCTTACCATTGGAGCAGCCTACATCCTTAAGTTGACGAACCAGATTGACACTGAGTCTTGCTTCTGTCCCAATGTAACAGAATACAAAAGCATGGATTCAATGATACACATATCTGAAGAAGCTACAGAAACCGAAATAGCATACCAGTAGATGTACACAGGAGCAGCTGAGAATAAATTTACCAGCACTAAAGAACAATAGATGTATCAAAACCCCACAAATATGAATTTGTTGCAAGGAAAACACGAATTCGAACCATTGCAAAACTTAATGTGCAAGAAGAAAAAAAGGCAATGTGGAAGACCAACATTACTGAGGAGCTCATATCTGAAAAAATGATGGAACCACGAAATCATCATGAGCAATAGGAAAGCAATGGAAAATAAACAAATATAAGCATGAAAGTTAATTGCAGTCTGACGTATTGACGGTAAAATCGAGTGGCCTAAATGTGCACAGATGGAAATACGTCTGTGATAAGCTGGAAAGGCAGCAACGGGAAAACCATCATGGCTGTGATAAGCTGGAAAGGCTTCACCCTTTTTCGTATCCTGGGTAGCATCCATCACAGGAAATAAGTAACAGTAAACATAGTTCAAATCACAAGAAACCACAAAGAAGGGCTGACGGAGCAAAGCATAGTACAACACAATTGCACAAGAGCACAAAGCTTCGACAACATATTTTTTTTGCAGATAGCAGCGAAGCGCACGAAACAAGATTGGATTGTTGGCCGGGAAAAATAGCTCATCATTGCATATGCCAAATTGCCTCAGTTCACTAAGACAACCTAAAAGGACCATATACATATGTAATGGTTAGCGTCACCCCATACGCCAAATGCCTCAGCTGAATAAAGGTGGAATACAAATATCATAAAAGACCAAGTCTTCATCATAACATATGGCTATGGCTGACTTGAAATGAGAATCAAAAGACCATAAAAAAGCGATAACTATAACTGTCTATTCTCACATGCCATCATTCAGAGGGGAAAATTTTGTTTTCAGCATCATCGGCATTGAAATATGGTCAACATAACAGCATCATCGGCATTGAAATATGGTCAACATAACAGGGAAAACAGTAATGGCATACAAATATGGTCGGATTTACCGGATGCACCTCACCACATCATCAGCAATGATATATGCTCAGGCTATATATACATAACACAGGTAGACATTGTTCCCCTTGGAAGAAAACGAAGGGGTGTATTGATCTGTTCATCTTGCGTAATAATAAATAGACAGATGGGGATGGAGAGCAGGGGCAAGGACGTGCCCTTTCTTGTACGAATGGAATCAGTCTATGAAGCTCTAGTGCAGATCAGACGAGGGACAGAGAGGAGACTGCAACGGGACCAACAGAGATGAGACGGATTGGGACGGGGGCGCAGGGGCCCGACGGGGCCAGCAGCCCCGTGCTAGGGCTGCTCCGGGAGAGATTGAGAGAGAGAGCAAACCGGGACGGCCGGTGACGGAGAGGCGAAACCCTAGGTGGGCGCCGCCGCCGCCACGCTGGGGGCCCACCGTCGCCGTGCGGCGCGAGGGGGGCGTGGAGGAGGAGAAGGGAGGAGGGCGGCCGCAGCTGCGCCGGCCCGGCCATGCTCTCCGTGTACCGTCGCCATGGTCGCATGGATCGAGAGAGGGAGAGAGAGCGCGAGAGGAGGAGGAAGGCGTCGGGGTCGGGGAGAGATGGCGGTGGTTTCGTGGCGGGGGCGATGAACTGTAGCAAGCGGTGGAGCGAAGACAGAGCGTCGATCGCAGGATCGAATGGCCGAAGGAAATGGAGGCGACATGGACAGCCTGGCCGGTGGCCAAAGGAAACCGGCTTAATGATAGTAGATATAGCACTTTATACATATGTATAGAACTTAGATTAGACAGAGTTGACCTCTCGGCTATCCATACTTCTAAAGTAATGGGAAATATTCATACAAGGTTTTTTTTAGATAATGAAAATAAATTCAGCTACGTCCTCTTGGAAGAAGAATCGAGTTTATGAAACAAAATTGACGCATAACTCAATTCATGAAATATTCATACAAGTTAGCAGTGTAACGCATGCGAGACCGAGAGCAAATGTAGTGGTGGGGGTAGGGGCTCCCTCCAGCCCCCTACGAAGTTTCCTATATCAATAATGGATTAAAAATGAGCGGTTCAGCTTCTTATTGAAGGTAGAAGACGACCTCCCCACATGAGTTGGGCACACTACTAGAATCTAGAATAGCCCTGTGTATGTAAAAACCGATAGAAAAATTCAATTGCCGACAAAAAAATATTTTTCTAATGGTGTATCGACAGAAAATAACCGACAGAGCTAGCTCGACAGAGAAATGTCATTTTTCTGTCGGTTCAACGTCAGAAATAATTTTTCTGACGGTCCTGCCCTCAAGCTTGATAGTTTCAAAAAAGTGACAGTACCCCTGGAGCCTCAGCCTCTCGCCATCATCCCATCCCCTACCAAGGCCAAGACTACCGCTCCTCACCTGACATGGAAGGGATAGCAACAGGATTTCTAAAGATACAACCTAATGTTTTGTCTGCCGCTTTGCTTGAGAAGGATATCAATGAAGATGAAGCCTGAAGAAGTTAGTGCCCCCCCACCACCCAAATCTCATTGGATGGATCTTTTGGACTGTCCTAGGTTGCATGTCTTTAGTCTAGACTTTTGTGTTGTTCGCCAAGTCCAACCTGTGTGCTGGCACAATAAGATCGAAAGTGCCAAAGAGTGGAATGTATGCAACCTTGACTTTATCATCTTTATGATGGGTTGGGTTATCTACTATGTTTATCTTTCTTTGTTGCGCTCCTATGATCCTATTTTGTCTAAGGTTGCTTCGTACAACACAATTTTCATTTCTTTTCTGTTCACTTGCATGTTTGGCTCTTGGTGGTGAAACTCAACTCTTTTTCTGTTACTGTCTTTATCATGAATCATAAAGAACTCACAAAATCCTAGTGTGGAATGTTAGAGGCTTGAATTCCCAAGAGAAGTGGGTTGGTATTAGGTTGAAAATTATTGAGAGTGCTTCCACAGGCTGGGGCGGAGAGACAGGAGATCGTCTCCTTCAATGACTTCCATAGGCTAGGGCTCGGCCTTCCTCTGCATCCCTTCGTGCGGGGCCTCCTATTCTTCTACAGTCTCCACCTCCATGACCTAAAGCCAGAGAGGATCCTCCACATCGTGA